GGATGAATCAGGAAACTCCGGTTCATCAAAGTTCACATTCGAATGACGTGCTGTAATGACCACTGCTTCCAACGTGTGATTGCATAGGGTATTTGTGGTGCACTTTTGCACTTAGAAGGAATTTCTGAACATCTACTAAACGTAAATTACAAAACGTAAATTACATCCTTATATTAAATGTCCAGGATGAGGGCCACATTACTCCGTTTTGGTGATTTAATGTTTGGAAACATGCACGGTTATGCTATCCATGTAAATGGATTAGGGCCAGCATCGATTCCTATTAGACTTATTTTACTGTGACCGTCACGTATGATTACATCCTTAAAAAAATCGTTCCAATAACTGAAGATAAAATGGATAAGTTCGTTCTATTAATTTTCCTTGTTGATCAGTTGACATTTGTTTGAAAGCAATATTGTGTTCGGCATAGAATACAACCCATTTTACTTGCTAAACTTGTTTATATGTAGTAAATGTTATGTACATCAGTTACCATAACGTAAATTACGTTACTTCTACCGACAAAATTAAAACAAAAAATTGTCTTTTTGTTTCTTTCTCATTCTTGATTTTTATGTTCTTAAATATAAAAGCACACTTTGAAATTTCATTATTCTGGTTTATTACGTTGACTTGTAAGTAATTAGTATTATCTAGAAGAGAACCATTGACGGCAATATGCTTTGCCGACAGCAAGAAAATCACAACCAACTGTAAAGAAACAGTCAGTTTCAAATATTTTCTCAAATGTTTGTGACTATTGTAGTTTACCAAAAAAATTCTATTACATCTGACTATTGAATACTGTCGATTTCATGGGAAAAACGGTTTCACGGTATGGATAGCGGGGCCTGTAACCAGTCCGACAGCATTTGTACAACTTAACTGAGAATGACTGAGAAACGCCCTCGAACAGGTTTCATTTAGCGTGGGTACGTTACAGTGTGGTGGTGTCTGTCGTACGACTGTAAATTTCAATCTGTCAATCCTATGAACAAAGGGAGATCCTGGACTGGCTTGTAGCACCACATTTCGACAACCATTGTGCTCTGACAAGGCCCAGATAACAGCGCTAGCCCCACAGAAGCCGCGCAGTGATGGATTTCCTATGCCAGGTAGCGATCACAACTCATCCCTGGCCAGCAGGATGCCGTGCTCGTCAGAGGGTTCCTCCGGTACGGTACAGAATCTTGACGATTTGGAACATGTTCTTCACCAGGACTAGAACAGGCAACCTCAAAGACAGATACAGCGTCTCAAACACTCAATTAAAAGACCTTTTTTAGTCAGTAATCGTAGCGGATGATGGCAATACTGATGGAATTACATTTTTACCTGTATTGGTAAATATAACCCTTAAGGATGTTCGCTGGTAATATAAATAGTATTAAACTTTTTTTCTAAATGGTATATTTTTAAAGTATGACGTTTGTATTTGTAAAAACAGCACAGAAAAGGAGGGGGTACTGTGGGTTTTCTGGAGATATGGAGTCTTGAAGAATCCTTGGCTAGCCAAGACTTTTAAAATGGGAGTCTATGGGAAAATCAGCAAACTTCTGACATGATCCCTCATTTTCATAATTTCTAGTATTAAACTTTTTTCTAAATTCAAATATGTTAATGACAACATGTTTTGCCATAAAAATAAGTATAAAAAAAACATGGGTCACTGAGGGTATTTTTCCGCTATGACACAATGTGTAACATTATATTACATAATGGTCCACTTTAGCTCTTTCTGACCTCATCATACCATTGTTGCACTGTCACTTAGCAACTGCTGATGTTCAGGTTACATCATCCTCTTTGTGATATTTTCACAGTGATGAGAAAAGCGATATCTCACTGTAGTGATGAGCACTTTTCTCTCACTGTTTAGCATGTAATAAATCTCAAAAACAGTTCACTGGATTTCTTTTCATACTTGACACCAAACTTCATCTAGAGAAGGTGCAGGGTCCAGTAGTTTTTGGTGACCTTGACATATTTTTCAAGGTCACCTTGACACATGGAAGATTTCAGCAGATCTTCACTATCATTCCTCTTTAATTTTGAATTGTCACCTTAGGACATTGGGAGATAAAAATATCTTTTAAGATAATGGAATTTTACAGTGTAAAGCACTGAACTAAACAAAATACAGGTCATCTTGAAACAACAAAGTTTGATCAAACTGTAACTTTGGAAAGGTAGTGAGATAGAGAATTTACAATCTTCTGAGAGCTTGCCTGCATTTGTTCTGATACTTTTCGGGGCGGTGGGGTAGCCTAATGGTTAAAGCGTTGGCTCGTCACGCCGAAGACCCGGGTTCGAGTCCCCACATGGGCACAATGTGTGAAGCCCATTTCTGGTGTCCCCCGCCGTGATGTTGCTGGAATATTGCTCAAAGCGGCGTAAAACCAAACTCAGTCAGTCAGTCAGTCTGGTACTTTTTAGCAAACACATTGGATAATCCAATATCTCCCTGTCTCTTGTAAACTACGTTCAAGTGGTCAAAGCAGAGACCACTAGAGGCTATCTTTCTGGCCATATTTGTAGATAAAACCTTTTCACACACAAGGTGTTGAAGGCTTGGGAGATTAGCTTTTATAGCTTTAGACCGTGCCAAGGAGTCTGTACAGTACTTCACACAAAAAGTAGATTGGGTCTTTGCATCAAGAGAAGCATGACAAGCTGAGTACAGCTGTTGCAATGACAAGGCATCTGACAAGGCATCATGTGCAACATAGTCACTCCCCACAATATTTTTAAACAACTCAACCTGAGCATATGAATTAAGTCCAGGATTTGTCAATTTGAATAGCTGAAGTGTATCTAGAAAACCACCTAGAAAACCATGTACATGATTTGAAAATTGTGGTATGTAATCAATGGCAAGTAATGCATTGAAAAGTAATGGACAATCATATAACTTGATATTGTGCCCAACCAGAACATTGCCTTCACTTTTGCTAAGAAAGGAAATCAGGTCTCCAATAGCCGTCTTTAAAGATACAGGATAAACTTCTTCACTGTAGTGAAACATCCTTCTCCCCTCAACACGTATGCCTGTGACCTGTGCAGCAGCTGGAGTAATCTGTACCTCGGGTTCAACGTAGCGGTTGAATCGTTCTTCTCCCCAGACTGCAGCTAACAGCGTAACATGAGATGTTCTCGCTATAAGAGAATAAAGCAAGACATAAGAGGGCATTCATATACTGACTGCTGACTGACTGAGTTTGGTTTTACGCCGCTTTTAGCAATATTCCAGCAACATCACGGCGGGGGACACCAGAAATGGGCTTCACACGTTGTACCCATGTGGGGATTCGAACCCGGGTCTTCGGCGTGACGAGCCAACGCTTTAACCATTAGGCTACACCACCGCCCCGGCATTCATATAAAAAAAAGTACTTCTTTTAATAGGTGTTAAGCAAACCCCCCACCCTGTAATACCCTTGTATTATTGATTACACAAATAATGCCAGAACGCTTATATTAGATATTTAGATCAAATATATATATTTATAGAGCACAATTTTAAACATTCATGTATACATGCATTGTGAGTCTAACTTTTGCAGGGTAGTAAATTCAAGATCTTAATATTCAAATATATCTTACAATGCATAGTGTCCTCGTCAGGATAAAAGTCTACAGATATTGTTTATATCCGTTGGGGTCATATGCGGGTATCGATGCAAATTAGAGAGATCAAATGCCTCAACTTCTTTTCAAAATCATTATGAAGTCACTCTATTGAATATTAGAAACGCCAAGCAAAGTGTATCAAAATTATTAAACATGGTAAAACATAGCATCTATCAAAATTTAAAAACATTCGTAATATCTCCAAATGGGTTCCTGCTTCTATAATCTATCATTCACCTGTGTTTCCCTGAAATGCATTATTGTGCACATTTCAGGGCATTTTCTATCAGCTACATATTGTTGCAGGTCATTTAGTGGTAATAGAAAAGAAGAACGACATGGTACGATAAGGTGTTATCGCACAGAAACTATCATTAAAATTTTGACACAGTTCACTATTTGTTACGAGGGAGGAGTGCAGAGAAAGGGACAGCCAGGTGTGCGAGAAAGGATGGAGACGGCACAGCACAGGCTAATGAATCAATAATTTGGTGGGCACTTGTGCACGTGCTTCTCTAACAACTGGCTGTCCCTTTATTTATGTGGCAATTTTGTACAATGATAAAATTTGCAATTCATCGGTCCGTTTCTGACTCAAACGGACTGTAGTACGATTCGGCTAGTCCTTGTTTTATCCCGCCGATGCCGAGCGCCGGAATAAATGGAGTACAGGAAGATTAATTGTTCCAATGAGTTATAACACAGATCCATTCTCGGTCACATGATCTGCACAACAAAACACATAAGCGAAATTTCAGGAAATCGGGAACTCCACTGCATCAGTGTTTCAACAATGATATAAATGTAATAGTGTAATGTAATAACTTGTAACTTTTAACATTTTTGAAGGTAGAGTTGGGATCTAAGTATTTTACGAAGGCTTCCTTCAACAATTTTTTACAACTGTCTCGTTGTTTTTGATAACGTCTCAAGGCAGTTTGACGGGTACAGAGCCGAGGTTGGTCGGGAGAGAAGACCTTAACCACATAATAAAACATGATTAAAATATCATTAAATGTAAGTACACTAAGAATACTTAGATTTGTGTTTTACATCTATTTTTGCAAACTTATGAATGATATTATTCCTCCTTGCTTGAGTGAGTGAGTGAGTTTGGTTTTACGCCGCTTTTAGCAATATTCCAGCAATATCACGGCCGGGTACACCAGAAATGAGCTTCACACAAAGTACCCATGTCCTCCTTGCTTGAGGAATGAGAAGAAGCTACATCCCTACACCACGCCCTGGTGCGCTTCAGGGATGTTGATAATATAAATGTTTGCACTAGACTGATAGGAGACAAAGGAAGGCTGTTTCAGTTATAATGATCTGAAATCCAAAGGTCTCATTGATGACAGACAAGGCAGTAAAGTGAACCCTTTTATTGTATACATCTCTGTATTGAAAGACTTATAAACGTATGGCATTGAGGCATCCATTAGAAGCCAACATTTAAAAGGCCCAAACAAATCATTAACACACCCGGCCCAATGACACATGCCACATTGCCACATAGTTCCACACTCCCTTGCCATGCATGATCAAACATTACAAATGTAACTACTTCTTGTCTTAAATAGGGATGGCTGGATAGCCAAATGGTTAAATTCCCACATGGGTACAATGTGTGAAGTCCATCTCTGGTGTCACCAGCCGTCATACTACAGGAATATTGCTAAAACAGCTTAAAACAATATTCACTCATTCACTCATCTCAAATTGTTGCAACCTTCCCTATCACCCTCCGGCCTTTCCCATGACAGCACATTAGCTGTGATGAACTTGACTGAAACAAATGTAACATTATTCCAACTGAAATTTTCTGGGTACGAGAAATCAGTCATGATAACCTGAATAGAAATATGGTAGCTGTAGTAGTAAATATGTGGACTCCCTGTGATAATGAACATTGATAATATTATGAACAGAAATAATATCAGGATCATGACAGAATTGCATAGCAACCAATTAATATGATCAACCATTAACAGTATGATCAGTAGGTAAACTAAGATGATTGTGGGTGAACTGACAATGTGTTAGTCTCAATTATTCTACTTACAGCATCCAATGATTGCAGTCTGCAAAGTGAACAATCTTCAGACACACTACCTGTTTCGATGGTTGTCTAATGCCAAACTTCCAGCAATAGTCCAGTGTGACTGACTGACTGAGTTTGGTTTTAGCAATATTCCAGCAACATCACGGCGGGGGACACCAGAAATGGGCTTCACACATTGTACCCATGTGGGGATTCGAACCCGCGGGTCTTCGGGTGACGAGCCAACGCTTTAATCGCTAGGCTACCCCACCGCCCCAGTCCAGTGTGATGGCAGACAGGAAAATAATTGTGTCTGGACCAGACTATCTGATGCCATATAGCTGGAATATTGTTAAGTGCGGCATTAAACAACAAACCAGCCAACCATACAATCCAGTGATTGACATCATGAGCAACGATTCAACCTGTCTGGGTATGATGCCACACACTCAACCAAGTTCCCTCCACTGACCACCCATTTCATACATTCACTTCTTACAAGCTAACATGGAATTCCAGGTGTTTGACCACGTAGTCTTGGGGACCAATTATTTCATCTTCACTCACACACTCACATGAGAGTCAATCACATACTATCTGGGCTTTGAGTTAGTTGACCAATAACATGAACAGTAATCAACACTGCAGGTAGGATACCGGGTAACAATCACAACTCAAAGTTAACACAAGACATTCACCTTTGTTTGTTCTCTCCACACAATGCCACCATTCTGACCAACAAATCCCCTTCTCCACATATTTTTACTAGGACTGTGTCAAAACCATCACAAAAGTATTGAAATTAATCTGAATGGAAAATGCATATGAATCATGAAGTAGAAACAAATGATTAAATTTTAAATTCAAATTAAATTTTAAATTCAAATCAATATGCAAATATAATACTTAAGCACAAAGGGACACACAAAGTCACATCAACAGAATGATTGATATTCGTTGCACGCACAGCCATACAATTAGCCACAAGGGTATGTTGTACGCAGGGGCGAATTTAACTCTGATTAAAGCAAATGAAACATATATACATTTGGAAGTTTAAATCGCCAGTATGTCAACATATAAAGGTGTTTGATAATTATAAGAGTGCACAAATCAATTCTCTAACTCAACTACTACAGCAATCTGTACTATAACTCATGTTTTAAGGCACAAACTGACAAGAAATCTTGCATGTTTTTCTTCACAAATGAATTACAAAATACTCATTGCCAGTTTGATTAGGCAAAACATATATACATGAAACAATAAATACACCTTGGTGTCATGAAGTCACTTTGCAGCTCACGATAATACCCAGAGATCCTTTTGGGTATTATTGTTGCCATACCACATTAGTAGTCTATTAAACATATTGAATACTATTTTGATGACTTCTTTGAGTGGCATTGTTTAGAAGTTGGAGAGTAATATACAGGCAAACTTTATGGTTAAACAACTTCTTTATTCGGTAGATGCGACTTTTCGATACAGATTCTTGTATCGTTGTCAAGCATGTATGAGTAAGGTAGAAAAACAGGGGCTATATATATATACAGTAAATAATTAACTGAAACAACAAGGACGTGTATCGAAACGTCTCATCTACCGAATAAAGAAGTTGTTTATCCATAAAGTTTGTCTGTATATGTATACTATTTTGATGACTCAACACTTGTAAATAAATATGTCACAAAATCTGGAATTTTCACTGAGAAAATGTCCTGAAGAGTGAAACATTCATTATTTCATTTGAGTATCTATCTTTCATTTAATCTGGTTGTACAGCTCCCTAATCTGTCGTTGATGAAGAAAAATTATCATACACTTCACCCTCACTATCGTAGTTACGATATGTAAGGAGGTACTGAAAGGCTTGCATTAGACCTGTCTGCTCGTATTTCAGAATATAAGTATTTATTTATAAACAACAGAAAAGTCAGATCCTGTGATCAGACTACATCAGGGGTCAGGGATATACCTTGAGTCCTGTATTTGAGGGTCCCTTGGACTCATACTCTTAATTTTCAGGGGTCCTGGACAACAAAATGGTGGTCCCAGACACTTAAATATTACTATTAATACTGTTATTGTATTATCACTTAAACTGTTACAGTAATCAAATTGCAAACGATACCATAACCCAGCTAGTAGCAAACTCAGTGATAACTTATGGTTACTTGATTGGAAATTCTACAAAAAGTATTTAGACTTTTTCTGCGTCCCTGTGGCCGCGCTAATAAATTTTGTTGTGTCCATTGTCAATTCTTACGTGTATAGGACGCAGAAATTCACGTCCCGTAAATCCCTGAGTGGTGTAGACAATCAAGCCGAAACATCTCTTGCAGCATAAAGTGAGTAAACTTGGAGTTGATTTGCAAACAATACTTCAGAAGTGTCGACACACTGGCCCGTTAATTACAACAAACACAACAGGAACAAGCAAACAAAAATTGCAAGGTGGATTATCAGTGTTCCTTATAATTATTTGGAATCAGTCTTCCTGTTCCAAAAAGCTGAATCCATGTTCCACAGCAGTAATCAGATTAAATGCACTTGGGAAGACCTTTTTCCAGTTCATCTCTCAATCCATGTGATACCTCACTTAACCAACTGCTTCTCACTGACAAGGTACAAATGTCTTCATCTTTGGTTGAAAGAGAAATCAACTTCAAATTGTCCAGAATTCTCGAGTTTGGATAATGGACCGTTACCAAATTCACAAGCTTTTTTCACAGGACTGATGATCATAGATTTCATGAAGATGAAATAGCTTGACTTGCCGCCTCCTCTTCTGAATGATCTTTTGTTTTGCTGAAGTTGTCATTACCAGAATGAGGCTCATTACCAGATTGAGGCTCATCACCCTTGACCTCCAATCCATTCATCTGAGATTGGTCAGTACTCGTAACTTCTGAGACTAAAACTCTTCCAGAATCAGAGTTTATCTGAAACAAATTACAACCTTTAAACTAGTGAGTGAATAAATATCAGCTGTTTTACTTTGCAAAAAATGTCACTTAACATACAATTACTTTAGTGATTAATCCTAGAGTCACCCTCACTACTGCGAACTGTTTCTGGTTGTACTTCAAACAAGTCTTTTCAAGATTATTACACGTATGTGTATGTATGTGCATGTCAAATAAGTCGTTCGGTCCATCATTTTATGACAAGCTAAATAAGAAAAGTAACGGGTAATCCTCTCAAAGGATAACTAAATTGAAGACAACTTATTCTTCCGATATACTGACCATTGTTCTAAATAATTCAGCAATATGACATTACGTGGATGGAACTAACCAACAATGAAAACCCTACCTGCTCCTGAATGCTGCTAGAGTTGTCTCCCTGTGTTCCAGGCAATCTTACATCTTCTTCACATGCTACCCCCAACATATTATTACTGGAACTTGTCTCTGTGCCATTTGATTGGCTAGAGGAACTGTCACTAGATGACAGCGTTGTAGAGGATGTTGACATCTGCCATGACGGAAGCACTGGCGACGTCTGTGGAACTGGGGGAAACTGACGCCTAGAACAAACATTTCATCAGGATTTTACAAGTTGCATAATAATACACTCAGTCTGCAAGAAATAAGATGGATGATAAGAATAAAGTTTGTCTGAATTATTTATCATGTTAAGCAAACCAAAATGTTTGTATTTCATGCTGGGTATTTGATCTCATTCACAGCTTTCTGGTGTGCCCAAGGAATGCACAGCAAATTGCAGCACCTAAGATGACTAGGCAACTCTTGACCGTATTTTTACAACAACAGAGTGAAGGTGGACTGCTTAACATAGAACATAACATTATTCCCACTATATAATGTCAACTTTATTCCCACTATATAATGTCAACATTATTCCCACTATAACATTATTCCCACTATATAATGTCAACGTTATTCCCACTATAACATTATTCCCACTATATAATGTCAACTTTATTCCCACTATATGTCAGGTGACAAACCAGCGAGTGATATCATGACGTCAAACACCATTAGGTATGAAAAGTCACATGACCACATGATCCATTGTAGTCACCAACCATAGGATACACCAAGTCATTCAGATTTGCAATATCAGTGAGTGACGGAGTGAGTTTATTTTTATGCCACTTTTAGCAATATTCCAGCAATATCACGGCATGGACACTGGACTTCACATACTGTACCCATGTGGGGAAATAGACCAGGGTCTTCATCATGATGAGCAAACACTATACTCACTAGGTTACCACACCAATATCACTGGAAGAAATGCCACACACCTGCTGAGTAACAAACCCTTCAGTGAGGATATTTCGGTCTTCACATCCTGCAGGAGGTCTGTGTCTTTACTCTTCACAGCAGTGTGAGAACCCTGCAATCAGACAAACCTCTTCTTTCAGTGTCTTTAACTGCCACGCAGAACTCGAACACCAATGTCTGAATGCTTTCAAACAAATACTATTGTATGCCTATAACAACAGCCGAAGAAGCACAACTGATACAAAACTGATACATGGAAGGCAAAATGATTTGTACATATGGAACAGCAATCATCCGAGACATTGTTACATCATCTGTACAGTGAGTGAGTGAGTAGTGTGGTTTTACGCCGTTTTTAGCAATATTCCAGCAATATCACGGCGGGGGACACCAGAAATGGGCTTCACACATTGTGCCCATGTGGGGAATCGAACCCGGGTCTTCGGTGTGACGAGCCGAATGCTTTAGCCACTAGGCTACCCCACCGCCCCTCATCTGTACAGAGAAACCCTGTTAATGAATTACTGCTATGAATAGTAATTTGAGGAAAATGTTATTTCCAAAGGCTCAAGTGCCGAGGGTGAAAGGACTTCCATTGAAAGAACAAAAGGTTTATATTGTGTGATGACAGCCAAACTACAGGATAATGATCACAATTCAACAGAGTATGTTAGTCACATGAATTCATAGCGTTACCTCTCCTGTGTTAGAGATTGCTGTCAAAGATGTCTGCTGTGTGGTCAGCGACTCCTGAATGGACTTCAGCGTCTCCTGGACCTGGACCATGTTCTGGTTCAGGTTCTGCAGCTCCACCAGCTGCTGCTCCAGACGATCCATACGACTGTCATCCTGGGCCCGACTTACCCTGGAGCCAGGGCCTTATGTACAACTGTAACCATGATAACGTCTTCCATGCACACTCAAAGTCTCAAGTCACATACATGTACTACCATCTTATATAAATCACGGCCCCATTTCATAAAGCTATCGTAGCGCTATGAGTCTATGTCTATGTCACATTATATCGGGAACGACACTCGCAGTTTTGTGAAACAGGGCCATGAATATTATTAGGGAAACAAACTGATATAGCTGTACTATTTTATCAAATATTTTTTACCATGTTAGAGTCATTTTCATCACACAACTTTTAACACTTCTTCTGCTTTTGAATAACAACTCATTTGGACTTTGAACTTAAAACGTTTATAAATTCACACTTGATCCCGTCACTATATGGCTGGAATAATGCCAATGTGACTTTAAACCCAACTCAACACAACTCAACTCAGGGACAGCAGTGTAAGTATACTACTCCACTTTTAATAGAGAAATTTATATTTTGCCATCATATTAATATTATTCTCACTTGCAAAGTGTATATTTGAATAGACTGGCATAATATCTGATTATCCCAATCAAATGTTAAGTAGTAAAGCAGTATAGCTTTAATAACAGATAACTACGGATGGGATTAAAGTGGACACCCAGAGTTTCCTTTCTGGAACAAACATCAGCTGAGAGAGAATGTTGTTTGTCGTTTTTCTTTTACAGGGGTAGGAGTTAGACCTATCTTGATTACTTTAGCACTTGGCACAAACATGGCTGGATGATACTGAGAGGGAAGTGTCAAACATGTCAAGTCATGGTATGTAGAGGCTAGTAGGAGTATTTGCAAGAGCAATTTGCCAATCAGACAGCTTTTTTCTCAAATCAATAATAACCATACCTGATACATTCGGTACACAGCATATGAGATGCTGGATATGATGAGAGCTGTGGTAGTGAAATCCTTCACACGCACCCATGTTGATGGCAGAGGCGCTGCAGGAAAATAAGGTAAAACTGTCAAACACTGATCTCACAGCAACACAGTCCCAGCTTACCAAGGGCAATACCCAAGATCAAATAGTATTTACTGGAAGACACTTCACATTAACAATACATGTATCTGGTGCTTTTCTTCATCATTCTGAGTTTGATTCAATTTTCAAAACACTGACTGGCATTAAGGCCAAAATATTGTTGTCAAGGAAAAAGATATAGCAAAAATAATACTTCCATCTTCTTAAAATTTCATGGCTTTTCAAAATAAATCATCCAAACAAAAGGGATTCAAATTCATTCCTTTAGAGTCATATAAAGCTATGCTAGAATGTTGCAACTGTCTACCTTGAAGCGGAGGCTGCACAGCAAGTGCCTGCTGGAACGGTCCCGGGGGGTACTGTGTCGGTTGGGCCGGGGGTGTGACTAGGTCTGTTACCCCTGCCTTCTGCACAGCAAGATCTATCTCTTCTTTGGTGAGACCTGAAGAGATGAAGTGACATAGCTTGATAACACTGTGATCTCAAGATTACTGTTCTTCGAAAGGTGCATGTGTTGTGTGTGTGTGTGTGTGAGAGAGAGAGTGAGAAAGAGACAGACAGAGAGAGATAGGCAATAGCTCAGTCCCCTTGACGGTAGAAGATGGTATTTGAGGTACAGTAATACTCTTGCGTAATTGTGAAGACAACATGACAAATATCCTACCTTTCTTTTCAAGAAATGCCTTCCTCTGATACAATGGACTTTGCTGGACTTTGGGATTCTGCAAGAACTTTACAGCAGTACTTATCTGCAAATGGAAAACCACTGACAATGATTTGAAGTCCTGTAATCAGGTACATTGTTATCTTTGTGACATGTATCATCATGACCCTTCTATTTTTTATATCAACTTTAACAAATGTTTTCAATTGTAGTATTCTGCTTGCTACAGCACTGTGAAAAAGCCATTTGTCCTGTCTGCTATTGTTAATTCATAGACACAGACACACGACCAAAAATACTGTTTTGTGATGTTTCATGTTTAATCATTAGCATATCCAGTATTCATACTCAACAAAACAATACATCAATACTTTAGCATCATTAATAATAATAATAATTGTGAATTTATAATGCGGCTTTTCCATATACAAGGCACATGCTCAGAGCGCTAACACACAATCTGATTACTATTACCCCGGATAACCGGCGCTAGAAGGTTAATAGTCACATGAGTTATCCCACTGGGTAAACATTTTCTGCTGTTAATTATGTGAATATGTTCATCAGAACATGGAAGTATTCTTAATTACCACTTAAAGTTTTCATATTGACACGTAAAACTGCAGATTAAATACACTGAACAAAAACAGACTTACAAGATTTTCTCTGGGACCATCTGCTGGTGCCAGAACATCTTTTGTAACCTCAACAGTCTGAAACATTGAAACCAAAACTAGACATTTCACATCCTGAAATGTGCGATTTGGTCAACACACTGAATCCCGGATGGGACTCAACCCAACAAAAGTGCTAGAATCTGTACTTTACAAACAAAGTGTAATCCCAAGTATAACATATGTTACATTTGACCACTTTCTAAATGGCATTGTGTATTTCATAGCTTTCGGCCGTGGGAGCCGTGCCAAGTAACACTTATCAGAGGGGTACACAAAATCTGCAGTCTAGACTACCAGTTGTCTGACTTCTATTTTTGTGGAAGCCGCGGTGGCTGAGCGGTCTAGGCGTCTGACTTTGTGTGCTGGCGATTAGGTGCCTGATTCTGAGGGTGTGATTATGATGACACTATCATTTACAACCATTTATCAACAATATATTCTTATATACCAAAACTATTTTTGTATGCTTTTACAGCACTGTACAAGTCAGTCATTTCATGTGTTCGTTTCTATTTCTAAATAATATCAAGTTAAAACCAGCAAATGGTTACATTGCCCTCCTTTGTTATTTGTATATGAGATTATTAGGCGGGGAACATTTTATGCACTTCTTCAATTTATGCTTGTCTTATCTTTCGTTATGAAACGTATGTGTTCAAGACGAGAAATCAAACCAGTTCAAAGGTCAGGATTTGGCTTTGCATCTTGAACGTAGACGCTCATGCTGTATTTCGAAAAATTATAATCTCAACAAATGAAAGGGACGCATGCAATCGCGCTGTGCTGCCAAAAGAGCAGTGTTGTTGTCCAAGAAGAAACTCTTTGCAACTCACATCGGGAACTTTCCCCGTCTCATCGGCCATGTTGATGCTTACAGTGTATATGTTGTGTCTACAGTTTTCATTGGATGAAAGTTTCCCATCCATCCAATCAAACAAGGTCTTAAATATGTACAAAACAGGAAGTTGAACGCGACTATATTTGAAAGAGGAAAAGTTATGTGACCAGACTATCAACAAATAAAACAGTGTCGCCAGATATTTTATCATCAGTAATAATATTTTAAATCAATGTTTAAACCTCTACCAATAAAGTAAACTAGCTTTATGGATAATCTATTCAAAATAAAGTCATATCCATTTCGGTATTTAAGCGACACAAAGGTAGTTGTATTACAGATCCTATATAACCAGTCAAAGGCGGACAAGCTTGAAAACATTTCCTTATGAGAATTAAGAAAAAGTATGTTTGATTGGAAGTGTTTGTCACTGGATGTCTCGGCTTTCAGCAGCTATTGATTAATGTTGGGATACAAGTACTTTATCGATCCATGCACTTGATAAATTTTCCTTCAATCCTAATAATTAAAACGGGTAAAAAAACATAGAAACCCTTTTGAAATGCTATCAATGTTTTAATCTACCATGAATTTGTATTACTGCTCTTAACCAGGCTGCAAACTGGCTCTTTCATTGATCTCAGGTGCCACTTTGATCGATTGTCAGGGTTCGGGTAGAATTTCATGATATCGATTCACTCAAACTCTTTATTTTGCTGCTAGACACAACCGGTGAGCGTCAACACAATGTCGAGGCCATTCAAAGTTTGGAGTGGTGACAGAGCTAATAAGAAGTCTGTGACTGCAGCCACTCTTCAAGAGCTGGTGTACAAGGGTGTGTACAACATGGCATCCATAAGAGAAATATATGATTTGGATATAACCACCACATCTCAAGGTGGAATGAATTTAAAGCTCACGACTTTTTAATATGTTGTGATAGCAAGATGTAGATCCCAATACTATTGTCAAGCAAAACAGAATAGTGTAAATATGGTACAAAATTCTACATAGTAGGTGAAAGAGATTAACATGAGTGGGTTAAATAAACACAACAGAAATGTGATAATTGTAACAACATCACGAACAGAGAGCACATAATATCATCATCATGCAGGCACAGTAGGGCTGAAGGGTCGTCGGCACTGGTACTACATGTGTGTACCCCAGGTATGTTACTGTATACAAAAACATACCCTAGACAAAATCAAAATACAGAAACATACCCAAGGACGACCCCATTACGCATTATGCCTTTTTCTTTATCATGCTGTTGTATTAAATGCATTTGATTGCATTTTATATAAAAAATGAAATACACTAATGAATATTTTGCGATGTACAAGATCACTTGCAATCAGTTAAACAAGTTCATACGGTTTTGGTTTTAGGTTGTGGAAAATGAGCTCGTCCAATGCTCATGGTACCGGTTATGTATTTTGACTTCGGTTAAAGTACATTTCTGTATACTGAAAGGTACCTGGGTTACATATCTGTAGTACTGGTTCCCCTGTAGTACAATGACCCCTATAGCCACAGCAGGAGTACAACACTTGTATAGAGTTTAACAAAACATTCACAAATTTAAATGCGAAAAGACTAAGCTTAAGTCATGTCACTTTCAATCCCTATTCTTGTTACTAAGTGGGCAGCTATAACCTGCAGGTACTTGATTAGAATTGACAACATGGACTTGTGACAATAATTGCACAAAAAATAGAATTAACAAGTCTTATATGAGAGAATTTAATTGTGTTACAGGGAGACAGAAGCTGGGACTGGCGGACACAGAGGCTGTGAGGGTGGTGCTAGATGAAGATGGGACAGAAGTGGATGAGGAGGACTACTTCACCTTCCTCTCCAACAATGCAACGTTGCTGATGTTGCGAACATCAGAGAAGTGGAGGCCACAAGGAGCAGGTCAGTGCTCTTGTTAACTCTTCTCCACAGAACAAAAGTGGCTCTTCATTATAAAATCCAAAAAAAAGAAACACAACAATAGAAACAAGTATAAGCCAATTGGTTTCAGATGTTTTTGTTTCTGTTTTGGGTGAAGTATCCTTCTGAACTATATTTTTGTTAATAAAGATGAATTTACTGATTCAAGTTATGTCTTTGAAGAGGTACTAGGGTTATCTGATTGTAACAACAAAAAAACACTGTTGACAGAGGAGGTGTCTCGTGATGAAGTGGATACGATGGATGGGGCCCAGGGGATGTCTGAACGAGTGAAACAGCTGGTATGCGGGCTACAGAGGGACGTATCGCGGATCATAACGTTTTCCAATGAGGACTTGCAGGTAGTGAAATATTTATAGTCAAATCTGTCAAAGTGAAGACAAATTTTGAAGAGTCAGAAATATTTCATATGTGGACAGATCATTTAGTTTTCTGTTTTTACAGAAACAAGCCTACCTGAATTTTTTATAAAATCATTATGGTAAAATCAAACGTGGGCCATAAAAAGATCAACAAAATATTGGAAAGGGATTAATTCATATAATTAAGGTGAAATGACTAACAGGTGTGAAAGTCATGGCCTTAGCGTTTAGAAATCAAGGGTCACAAAATATTTACTGACTTAGTATTACAGTGTTTCAGTATTTGATTTTGAGCAGTTTATTTACCATATGCATTTGAACACATCGAATACAATGCAAAACATGTTGCAATACCTGTGAATTTAAGAAAATAGGAACTTAAGGAAATTTAAGATTGAACAAATTAATGATTCTTTCCCAGTTTGCCTGTTAGGTGCTCTTATTTTGGACCTTATAAAATCCTGCATTTGTTTACCTCCATTGTTCCAGCAAATTGTGGACGTATCGGTGGAGGAGCTAGCATCACTGCTGCAGGACACAGAGAGCTATGCCAAGGCTCTACAGGATTCGTGTAGTCGACATCTGGATGAGCGGCAGCAGGCTGCGGAGGCCATTGACCTCCTGCGTCTCTACCACAGGGCGAGGCAGCACAGCCCGTATGTGGAGGCGGGCAAGAAGAGGAAAGTCGAGGACCAGGAATAGACTTTGTTTCGTGTTTCATCCAATCACTCATCATGTGCTTCATAACATAACTGGAGATCTTGGCAGAGAATGGGAGTCCTTATTTTACATTATGTGTGCAAGTGAATATATCTTAACATTAATATCATTATATTAACAGGTTGAAGGTGTAATGCTTTACTTATATACACAGCAGGACTGTGAGTTTTGATGATCTTAAAGTAATCGTTCCAGCCGTGAGTTGTCTCCAAATCATCTTGTCTGACACTGGCCACCTACTAACCCAGATATGAAGTCAGATTAAGTACGTGTTAGAACAATAGGGACAAGACAATGCATCTCATTGGCAGAGTTATGTCCCTTAAGTATGCTGGATCCTATTATCATGGGTTAAAATACCTAATCATGATCCTTTGTTTAGCACTATTCACAAGTGGGCTCACCAAAATGGTGAAAGTATGTGATCATTTTAACAGTCTGTGCCAACTAGTTCGGGAGTCTAATAGTCCAAACAAGGTTCTTAACATCATTTTAAGTAGATCATAGTGTTTTGTAGACTACGACTATCTGAGCCTATTGACAGAACATTATTTCTCTAGACTTTCTCTTTGCACTCATTGCTTACAGACTGCAAAATGGTAGAAGTCTATGACTTGCATCCTTTTTTTTGCTTCTTCACGTACTAAGCTGACACACTGTGATTTGACTGCTTTAAGTGGCATTTAGAAGCTGGTATGATGAAGAGGAACACGTTTTATGGATAGACAACTTCTGATTGATGTAAATGATGCTTGATGACAGTGTTAGGATCTTCACTGAAAGGTCGCATATATTGCAACAAAGAAGTTGTCCATCCATAATAGGTGTTCCTCTACGCTATGACTTTGTTAACAGTGTGTGGAACTCAATTCTCTCAGTGATACTAACATGGAAACCTAAATATACATTAAGCAGAGAGCCAGGTTACTAAAGTCTGCAAAGCATCAGCTTCAGGGGTGAAGACAAAGTTGACTTACACATTCCAGCATCTTTTCTTTTATTGCAGCTTTTCAGTATCAGACTTGTCGTTTGACGAGTCATTGACGACTCAAAAGTTTGAATCCACAAACTCCACAATATTACGATTTCTAAAATACCTTAGATGTATAGTTTTGTTAGTGAGTACACATTTATAATGTCCCTCATGAAACAGTGAGAGGATCTGATTGGGAAATTTTGAGTTTTGACATGGAAAGTTGTGACACAACCCCTTACGGGTGCAAAACTTCTGGCAACATTGAGCGCCCTTTTTCAGATTTATCAAGAATGTTTTGTATGATTTCTGTAACTGAATATTTTTTTACATTTTACACATGTTTTGTTTTACACGTCACGTGAGTGTATGCGTCATTCATTGTTTAATCAATTTACAAGGGCTGCTTCATTGAAGGCTCTGTTTCTGTTCTTACAGTCGGTTTCATAAAGGAACAGGTGCTCTCCATCAGTTTAATGTCATGCATCATGAATTATAGGAAACTTGTTATTGTTTTGCTTGTATGTCTTGTTTATGTGTTTAAGTGTTACTGTGGGAACAAAATGATAAATATTTCACATTAAAATTAACTATTGTTGTTAGTCTCCATGCAGGACAAAAATATATTGTGCAGCAAGATGTATTATTCATTACAAGGAAGGTTTCCTTTATACTCAGAAGCATCAGAAGACAAGTCATGCAAAGTTCCAGAATGAATCCACCTGGGTTTTTAATCTAATTGATTTAATCATGAAATTAACGACAAGACATGTGAGTGTCTCTCACATCAGTTTCGTTATCTGGATCGGCTGAAATGCAGTGTCGTGTCTTGGTCACTGTTAGGGCTGGGACGGGTAGACATTTTGGACCAGGTAGCCGAGGTAGAATCAAATGACCAAACCCGGTAACCCTTCTTCTATAATAAGAGTTAATTCGCTTGTCTGTTGTTGATGGCAACTGAAACTAATGAAAATTGAGTTACCTAATGAAATGGGTCCATCCGGGTAGTTTATACAGAACCGGGAAGTGAAAATTATTTACAGGACCTGGGTACTCGGTGAACCTCCCCAACCCTATTCCGTGCTCATGTCCGGAAACAACAAGAAGCTTTTTTCAGTTTTCAGTTTTCTGTGTTTCATATCATTCTCATACCAATCTCAAATACCTTTGTATTTGTAAAACTGTTTTTATTTGTAAATCTAGCAGTGCCATGTCTCATCGTAGAGTAAATTCCAACCCCATGTGACGGCATACATGAGTATGGAAGACGATTTGGGTCAGGGCCGGGGTCCTTTTTTAAAGCATAACCGAAACCATGAAGAGTTTTGAAAACCCTTTTGTGATTTTCTTTTTTAAGGAAAATACTAATTAATTACTTTGGCTACCAAACATAATGGTTTGATGAAACAAACTCATGGCCCACAAACATTATGATTTCCATTATCACCTCTAAGATCATCACAAGCTTTGTTTACTTTACAGGCAGCATCCATTTTGTATGATTTATTCATTTTGATTCGACTTTTTTTACTGGTTTACTTACACTGTAGATTATCTTACCAAAACCAACCTGCTTGATCACTTTGACCACAGGATTAGAACAGGATAGTATAAGTAATATTTACCAGACCAACTGTCATGGTTTATTAATATATCTGCAGTTATTTCAGTTTTCTTTACACACATATGCCTTAGCTGTGTGTACAAAGGAGGTGGTGGGGTGGCCTAGTCGTTAAAGATTTTGGTCGTCAGGTTGAAGAACTGGGTTTGATTCCGCACATGGGTACAAAGTGTGAAGCCATTTCTGGTGTCTCCCTCCCCCTCCCTCCTCCTCCTCCGGCCCACCCCATGATATTGCTAAAAGCGGCACAACACTAAAGTCAATCTATACAAAGAGTCCAAGGGTGGCCAAATTATCTAGGAAGTGACAAATTAACTGAATTGCCCTTGGTCGTGCCTGAAGCCTTTCACAATAAGTTTGCTCAAGTTATATATCTAGGTTTTGTCAACAGCATTCTAGTGCATACTTTAAAGTCTTGCCTTCCGATGTTACAAAAAGAACTGTTAAATAAGCAAGCAAATATATAAGGTTTAGAAATCTCAACTCCTGACAAAATGAAGCAGGGAAATCAGTTATCAATTGAAAGTATTGATTTGTTGGTCTGAACGAATTTGCTGTATAATGTGTGAAGTTATAGCAAATATTTACCGTCCCATCACTTATTTACCATTAGTTGAGTGTTAGCATTCAATTTTATGTGTGTTCGAATCTCAAATTTGTTTCCATTTAACAGTAAATATTGTTATAATGAGCTCAAAGGAATATTGAATAATCAAGTAAAGACACAACAAACTGTCGGTATTATTGCTACTTTGACAGGGTCCCAGTCTTTACTGCAAACAAACGCATTCATTACTAATTTAGATATGAACTACTTTAGATATCTGAAGATGGAAAATCAATGCTTCACTCAAGACTGAAGTAACACTTTAATCAGGATCTACTGTTGCTATAGAAGAGGTGCAATGTCAGTGGAAGAAAACAATCAGTTGTGTGAGCTATTGATTTTTGGTTAAAATATCCTGTTTCTGTTATCCTTCTAAAATACAGGAACATTGTTTCATAAGAAATGTTGATATTGTCTTTGAGGTTGATGTGAAGTAGTCCCACGGGTGTGACAGGTGGTGTTAGTGTTTTATATTAAGCTCACTGGAGGAGATGAAAGCGAAAATGAAATTTCGCAAAACGGTTTTGCAAAAGAAATGCTCTGTATGTCAAATGTATATTTTTATGGTAACTGCTAATAATTTTGATATCTTACATGTCAAATTAAATAAATTGCTTCTTTCTTTATTTTAAAGATTGTTTTTTGTGTTTTGGGAGACATGTGACAACACGATCACTGCCGCCTCAGTCAGCTGATGGTGGGTCCCAGTGCCAGTATGGTCTAGGTTGTTATTGAGAGAAAAGCCAAACAGATATGGCGAATCGCAGATTATCTGTCACAAATACACCATGAGGTTTTTCAGTGCTTGTCCCAGAGGAATGAAATAACACACAATTCCTAGTTTTGATCCAGTTACTCAGAAGTTTAATAAGAACTTTTAGAAGGAAAATGTATTTCAAAATACTTGGAAACTCCACTGAACACACTCATGAACACATACCTTCATCGGCAACGTTTTGGCATCGATGTTGGAAGGGTGATGTGGTAGCCCAGTGGTTAAAGCATTCGCTCGTCACCATTTCTGATGGCACCCCGAAGTGATATTGCTGGAATATTGCTTCAAGCGGTGTAAAACCCAACTCTCTCACTTAAATGTTTGACATTTGGAAGCAGTATTTAGCATATGACAGTTCACCACACACCTGGACCATTTCTGTGCAACTCTGACCTAATAACAGAGATTCCTGTACAATCAAAGTTTTACTAAGAGGCAAATTTTATAACTACCGCTCTTGGAATGCTATTTCCTTCATTTACAGCTAAGGTGTTACAGGTGCAAAATTATTACATGTGAATCTTTCATATGCGAGTGAGTGAGTTTAGTTTACACCACACTCAGCAGTATTCCAGCTATATGTTGGTCTTTCATGGGTAGATCCCCTCATCAACTTTCCTCTTAGTTTAGAAACATGATATAGTATTATTGGGCGGTGGTGTAGCCTAGTGAATAAAGAGCTCGCTCGTCACGCCGAAAGCAAGGTTCGATTCCCTACATTGGAACAATGTGTGAAGCCCATTTCTGGTGTCCACACCGTGATATTGCTGGAATATTGCTAAAAGCGGCTTAAAACTAAATTCACTCACTCACTATAAAGTATTCTTCTTAGGTACCTGTAGGAAACTTGAATCATCCAGGCCAACACACGTTTATGTTGACATGAATACTCAACTTGTGGATATAGTCGTAACATTTGTTTTATATCTGCAAAATGTTTTTGTAATATCAATCAGTATTAATTGCAACATGAACCTGTGTTGGTTTAGTGTTTGTGAGTGAATGTGTATGGTTTTAAACCGCTTTTAGCAGTATTCCAGCAATATCACTGCGGGGGACACCAGAAATTGGCTTCACACATCGTACCTATGTGGGGAATCGAACCCGTGTCTTCGGCGTGACGAACGCTTTAACCTCCACCCTACCGCCCCAATAGCGTTTGTGAGCAAACATTGTAGTGCAAAAAAAAATCGTTTTGATGATTATCATCAACTTTAATTCTGTTTTTGTAAATAGCGTTTGCGTTCAACCTACTCTGTATTAGTGAGCAGTGTTATTGTGAAGTCAGTGATAGGTAATAATGAATATTTCTGCACACGTACTTCTGTCCATGCCATGCAATTTACATCGATAAAAGAAACCCATTACACAACGCTATTTCAGCTGATTTACGATGGTTATCACAATATAACGATAATTGGACATGGAATTGCATTTAACATTGATCGGGTAGTATATTTCACAGGGGTCGCTCTCACACGTAACTGTATAAACAGTTACTAAAGTGAACAGAAAATTGTAAAGGATTGAGTGAGTATGGTTTTACGCCGCTTTTAGCAATAATCCAGCAATATCACGGCGTGGTACGGGGTGGTTGGGTAGCCTAGTGGGTAAGGCGTTGGCTCGTCCCGACGAAGACCCGGGTTCGATTCCCCGCTTGGGTACAATATGTGAAGCCCATTTCTGGTGTCCCCCGCCGTGATGTTGCTGGAATATGGCTAAAAGCGGCGTAAAACCATACTCACTCACTCACTCACTCACGGCGTGGTACACCAGAAATAGATATCACACATTGTACCCATATTGGGAGTCGAACCCGGGTCTGGCGCGACGAGCGAAAGCTTTATCCACTAAGCTATCGCACCGCCCAGTTGTATATGAATTTGCAGCAGGACTACAGTTATGTATAGCGTATTTCTCTGGTTTCCATTATATGCTATATTCCCGTAAGCTACTTAACTTGCCCTTGCATGTGTTTGTGACTATTGGGTCAGGATTTGGCGAACACCTGGTGTCATCAACGTTTGATACTCAGTCATAAACACGTGTTGATGATAAAGTCGGACTCGGACCGCCTTTAGCAAGTGTTTCCATATGGAAGGCGTTACGATTTACACTTAATTGGCATGGACGACCCTTGAAAATAGACAGCACTGGAAGCAACAACAAATGGCTCTGTTTGATACTGTATGAGAGTAAGTGAGATATACCACTTTGTGTGAGTGAGTGAGTTGAATGATATTCTAGGTATATCACAACGTTTCAGCTTAATATTGGAGGATTCTGTTCCTCACCGCCTCTAACCCGTGATGATCCATGCCTGACGTAAGAGGCGACTAACGGGATCGGGTGGTCAGGCTGGCTGACACAAGTCATCGTAGCTTCGTGTCCGTTTTCCGCCACCACGGAAAACAGGGTGTAAACAGTAGTGGTGGTCGATTAATTGAAATAATCGAAGATCGTAGTGACTAAACGACCAAGCAATCGATCATAATTTCTCATAATCGAACACAACCAATTATGGAACACTTGTTTTCATTAACAACAAGAAATTTATGTTTCTAACATACTAGTCATCCTTTAAAGATGTGAAATTTTGCCAAAAGGCCCCCCAAGAACTACGGGTTTTTTTCTTATTTTTATGTGCATTAACAAATTTCATAAATGACGCTAACCAATTATTTTCGATGATTGATCGGTTGTAATGAACCAATCATCAATTATGACATTCTAACCAATTCCCAACACTAGTAAACAGTCATGTAAACTGACACTCCGGGGTCGATTTGGGGGTTAGTTAATCAGCTGCCGATCTGAAGTATATGATCTTACGAGAAATGTACGAATTATTCTCTTCTTTCGTCTTTGTTGTTGGGACAAGCGTAAAAGAATCCTGACTGGCAAATTTTTAGAAGGACTTGTCCATTCGGCTGTCTTTAATTGTTTTAAACATCAAATATACAAGAAGTGCTTCATCGTGACATACCTTCGGGATGGAACTGCTCTTATCGTGTAAATTATCGTTTAAATATTTATTTCCGTACCAGACACAACTGTTCTATTGTGTTTCACAAATGTTTAGAAATGGTAATATAAGTGCCTTACGAGACTAAGCAAGATGGGATAATGGAGTAAAGGTTATGTGGCTCAGGAGATGAAGGTCAAGGGATGTGTGTATAATCGAGAATAATCGAGGGCATGACTGAGGCGGAAATTATTCACTTTGCGGTTACCGTATTCACTCAATCGTTATTGCAGATTAAACGTTTATATTTTTGTTTGTCTTATGTTCTGACCTTGTTTTTGAGAGAATGGCAGCCCACAAACTTATTACTCGACCTTGGAAGATACTGCAGTTTCTTACACACCCATGGGTGAGAAACCCATGTGAGAAAACTGGTATCACGCATATGTGTGAGATCGATTTTTAATCCCGTGATTGGCTACTCCATGGTGATGACCTAGTGTCAGGTTATGACGGACTACTTTCCTGATTAAAATTCATTGATAAGTTCCTCGTGCTTCAATCGAACAGAAACCTGTTACTCGTGCCAAGAAAAAACCCTTACACCTACCTGTTATATTCGCGATTGCAACATAAACAGGTATTTATACAATGAAACAGCATTTGAAGAAATATAACACGAATCTATTTATTTTCTAATTCCTTTTATTAAAACTTTTGATTTCTAGTCATGAATTCAAAATCGCTCGAACAATCAGTGAAACTTGTGTTTTAAAACAATTATATGTGAACATCGCCGTTAAAGATAAACACCGGGATTCCCTTCGAATATTCAAAATGTACAACATTGGTACTTTTACTGGAGAGATGCGACAAGTCATGTATCGTCTTACAAATATACCTGACACGATAACGTCAGTGCCTGTCCATTTTGAGATCGATTTGCATCGTTTCTTTGATGAATTGATGAAGATGACATTTTTCATAGATAAACATGATGAAGACCCACTTCCAGCTCCGAGCTACTATGTGATTCCAATGTTATCAAATTCACTCATGACAATCAGAACCAAAACACACTCGTTGAAACAATGTACAACATTTTACAAGAGTTCATGAGTGCAAATGGCGGCACACGTGCTCTCTATTCAATCGAACATGTACAGGAACGGTTTATCTACACATAAGTCATTGCTTAGATATTCCTCCGACGCATGATAATGCAAAGTTCATGTCTTGATAACATACAGAATGTAATCAAATCACATTTCATACTGACAACTCGAGAACGAGAAGGCTGTGGCGAAGAAGAGAGAGTAGTCCCCCATTGATAGTGAACGTAACCTCAGCAATGTCATATTCAAGAACATGGGTTACACCTAATGACACACACTCAATAGTTTTGGCTCTGATTTGATCGGAGAACATTGAAAGTAAACTGGTACACAAGTACAGATCCCCAATGTGCAGAGATATTCAAAACAATCTTCCGATGACGACAACCACCAAACGATGACGATGACGTCACACGCTCAAATATGTTTTGCTTGCAAGAATCAAAATTGTTCACATTTACATGGTAACATCATCTTTTTAGAGTGTTTAATTAATTTTCTGTGATCTTATCTACTTTGCATTATCACTATTGCCTTGATGATGCGAAGAGGTGGCAGAAACTTTTTTGTGAGGGTCACCTTGGGGATGAGTAGTGATTAGGAAACCAAGTGACGTCACTCATTCATAAACGTTGTGTTGTGTATTATTGCGCAGCTACGATGAGAAAATATGAAATTTGAATCTATTCGACCATAAAATGGTGCGATTTTATGGTGTGTAAGAAACAGATTACTGTACTAGTGTCTGTCAGATATCATTTATCTTACAACGAGTTGTAAGATAAATGATATCTGACAGACACTCGTTAAGTAATCTCTATGTACTATTTTTACGGCGATATTACACTAGTTTAATACCGCTAGAGGTATGTCGTCATAATGGGTTGCAGTTATGACGTCACAATGGTATTAGACCTTGCTTGACTCGTGGAAAGCTGAAAGTCAATACACTTCGTAGGCAGTTTTTATCAGTTTATGTTGGAGAGTAATAAACAGAATACTAAACTCGCTTCCGTGAAATTCCATTTTTATTAAACTAGTGAAAGATTAAGCATCAAATCATTAACTCCTTTAATAAAAATGGTAGTACACGGAAGGTCGTTTAGTATCCTCTATTTATACCACATCTCAAATCGCTCATCGAAGTCAGTATTCAGAGGCAAAAGGGTTTGGATTACGGTGTTTCAAATTTTCAAAATTGAAAGATTAACCCTCCCGATCGGTTCGGACAGCTAGATTGTGTGATCAGTAAATGGCCATGCAAGATGAATGAATAAATAAGTATTTACTGAACGGGTGAAATAAGTGGCAGCAACAAAATGTGCAGTCGAGATTGTAAAGAATATTGTCAATGATGATTACACTTGGTTATGATTACAGCTGGCCTTAAAGAACATGCCCATCCCGAAACTTTTCGAACGATCAGGAATGTCATATTTATCAACAACCAAGCGAGGTAACTCTTGTCACACTTTTAGTTGCAAACTGACCAGTGTAGCAGTTAACATTTCACCGTTTCATTTGTGTGTAGCAAGTCTCACTCACTCACAACGTAGCGATCGACATCAATGCGTGGAGTGTAGTGTCTGCAAGTTGGAATCACTGATGTAAATTTGTCAACATGTGTGAAAGTTGAAGGGGATTGAAAACAAATGTGACTTTATTCATAAATTAACAAATATTTACTGTAGAATCTGGAGAGAAGTTATTTTTTTCGAACCTTATGTTGAATGGCGGAATCGTTTTGACCATACTTCGAAATGTACCGACGATGAATAAGTTTGTTTATATCGCCTCGAAGGCGCCTGGACCCGACAACAGCGGCAGTGAGCCGTCCCGTGTTGTCACCACTAGCAGATCGATAAATGATAATGATGCAGAGGAACTGAACATGAGTCCCAACTCACACTACCAAAGTGCTACTGACACGTGATGATCTTCAGCACCTGAATCATTGATTGGTGGACGAGTCCTTATTAAAACCGGCGCTTTCTCCGTAACAATACAAGGTTTACATTCCACCAGTTCTCTGCACTGGGTCAACACGTATAGGTTAAAGTCACTGTGCCGGTGGATTGTATCAGAGACCATATACCGACATGGTCTCTGGTTGTATTTTGGATTAAATATTTAGGCAGATATTTTCCTTATCTCCTTGAAGCGATGATGGAATAAAACAAAAACGATTCTGCCAGAAACGCTTTCTATACGATTTACAGGATTTCTCAAAGGCTGGCGACGAACTTCTACGTTCTTGATAGTGTTTGGGAAATATTTCAGCCAGACAGAACACTTGTCGGCGTTGCCCATACAGCTGGACTTGAATATTCGACGTCAGTGTGCAAGATGGCTGGTCCCACAACCCTTATCAACATCAGCGGGACGAAATACGAAGTGTCCACTGCGACCTTTTGTAAACTAATGGACCAGAACGGATCAACGTGTTTAACTGAAGCAACAGTGAAGGGCACTTCCCCAAAAGAGTACTTCTTTGAGAGACATTCGGATTCTTTCGCGGCCATCTTGGATTTTCTTCATCATGGAGAGCTACATTTGCCCCCGACGGTTTGTCCCAACGTTTTCTCGCGAGAACTTGCGTTTTGGGGGATAGATATCTCGAGAATGGAGAACTGTTGTTATCACAACTTCGTCACATTTGTGGAGGACAGAAAAACTTTGAGAAACTTTGAAAAACAACAGACGATTGTAACAAGGAACGGGAAACAAACATTATTCTGGTTTCCCCGTCTGGAGCGATTTCGAGCCTCGGTTTGGGCCTTCCTTGACAACCCCTCATCCTCCATTGCTGCGAAGGTAAGATTCCCCATGTAGAATTTCGCTGGACGATTCCCTGTGTCACTGGACCCGTGAAGATCCCGGTTAGAAATGGTCTTCAGCAACCCATGCTTGTAGTAAGAGGCGACTAACGGGATCGGGTGGTCAGACTCGCTTACTTGTTTGACACATGTCACCGTATCCCAAGTGTGTAGATTGATGCTCATGCTGTTGATGACTGGATTGTCTGGTCCAGACTCGATTATTTACAGACCGCCGCCATATATAGCTGGGGTATTGCTGAGTACGGCGTTAAACAACAAACCAACCAAACCAACCCTATGTCACTGTGGTGTCAAACTAATTGACACGATACTCCATGCAGTTGGTGCTGTGTCGACGCTTAACGTTTATATTAAAAGCGACAAAACATTTTCCACATCTAAAAGAAGTCCATTGTACGTGTCCGACTGTATCATACCACACTCAGCAATATTACAGCTGTTTGACGGTGGTCAGTAAATAATCGCGTCTGGACGAGACAATCTTAAGATTTATATCAGAACAGAGTATGTGTTTAGAAATCGTTATCAAATAGAGATGATACCAGATGTTGCTAAATGGTGAGCCTATCCTGCACCACCGGCGGCATTCGTCCCAAACACAAGCAAAGGCGAGTCAATAGTTAACCTACAAAAAACGGGAATACACGGCAAAAGTCAAAATAAGGAATTTTATCTGACATCATTTCATCATGTTAACGTTTCAGGTTTTATGGTTAATAAATATCAAAGTGATTTTGGACGAAAGAACGTTATGTAAACAAGAGCGACCGATCCCTTTCCATAATCATAAGAACTGATAGTTTGATAAGGATGTTGTAGTCCTCCAATGTAAACCATCTGAAACATTAAGCAAATTACATTTAAAATGCAATATTAATCTTCACAACTGTAAGTTCTTGCTGTCGCTGTATTAGCTCTATCTGGACTGGGGGCGGTGGGGTAGTCTAGTGGTTAAAGCGTTGGCTCGTCACGCCGAAGACCCGGGTTCGAATCCCCACATGGGTACAATTAGTGAAGCCAATTTCTGGTGTCCCCCGCCGTGATATTGCTGGAATATTGCTAAAAGTGGCGTAAAACCAAACTCAGTCAGTCCGTCAATCTATGTTGACTGGGTCCCGATCCACAAAGTGTTCGTAACGTTACGACCTGTCGTAACTGATGTAGTTTACCATAGGCTAACGAATGTCGTAGCGCTACGAATGCTTTGTCAATCGGGAACTTGAGGTCTTAATACTGGCATAAAATGAATTGAGAAGTTTCTGTTAAAAATAGAGTTTATGGTGCGAATCCGAGCACACTTGGCACATGTTTGAAACATGAACTTATCCTGACCCACGGGAGACATCGGTCCCAAACACATGCATTGTCAAGTCAGTTGTTCACCTTAGAAAACATGGGAACACAGGGTACAAGCTAGACTAACGCTAAGTTTCTGAATATATATCATTTTGATAGCTACAAACAAACCTATATAGATTGAAAAGGAGCCCCAGGGAGACCAGAGATTCAGAACCTGAGGAAATCTAGGCTTGCTTTATTTAAGGCTTTAGCATTGCAGAGAGGGCTTGGCAGTAGGGAAAATGATGTGGTTTAGGGACTATGAGACAGACTGGGTACAAGGCAGACGAGGGAAGTGCATAATTTTTGTAACCGTGGAATCAAGAAATACTCTTAACCTCTCTGCCATGAAACATTTTGACTGCATTCCTGAGGCCTCGAGTCCGAATAACAACCGGTGGGGTAGCCTAGTGGTTAAAGCGTTCGCTCGTCACGCCGAAGACCCGGGTCCGATTCCCCACATGGGTACAATGTGTGAAGCCCAGTTCTCTCACTCACTGACTTTACAGCGTACTGCGATCCTTAGACGATTTGGCTACCTGTGACTTATGGTGTAGAAAGAAAGCCCGATGGTATATTGTGTCTACTTCGTCATTTATGTTTAAATTGTATGGTTCTTTGTTTTATGCCCTCAGGAGCCGAAACACTCCAAACGTAGGGTCCACCACATTCCTACGATATCAGTATTAAATACATCACCAACAAATATCTATTTCTCCTTTGCTTTATTTCTAACCATGCACCATTAAACGTGAGTATGCACGTTTTTATTCCCGGCAGTGCAGTTTATGCATAGATAGATTTAACCTTGGCAGATTTGCGCTTAACAGTAAAAGGATATATTTTGGACACACTACAGTCTATACTTTTGGGACAAAGGTATATAAGACGAGTATATGGATGGCAACCTCTTGTTTATTGTATATCACAACGTTTCTGGGCACAGATGTAGACTTCAATACATCACCAACAAATATCTATTTCTCCTTTGCTTTATTTCTAACCATGCACCATAAAACGGATGTCGTCTTATATATTCACCAACTTCTAAATGCCTCTCAAGAATCTCGACAAAGGTATAGATTCATCAATATTTGGCCAAAGAACCCGAGATTCTTGGGTATGTGTTTTGATCATAAATTTACTATACTTCAGCCATCACCCATTGGCCTCAGAACATGCTCTTGTTTACGGAATCTATAACCTTTTGTTATCGCGTATACTTTGGCACCATGCAAAATATACGGCAGAACAAAGAACGCGTGATATAATGGCCATATACAATTCTTCACCCGTCAATCTGGGGCAACGAGTGCTCGGGTACATATTGTCGTCAGTGCTGTATTACTATAGCAATCTCAATAGGTTGCTTTGTCTGTTGCTTAACGCTGCGCTCAGCAATATTCGAGCTGTATTAGAGCTCAAGCTATGCTAAATCAGTATCGGTTTATCTGCATCATTACAACTGGCAAACATGTGTAGAGCAAATCAGTGACAGCTTTATTGAAAAATGCTGTAAATGGTGTGAAATGGTTTGTAAGCTCGCCGTTATGCAACATGCTGAACTTTCAGTAATGGTTGTCGGGAGTTAGGACATGAACAGGTTTCATGTATTCTGTGACTGGCACACAAGGGGATAGCCGTGTTCCCCACAAGTGTATTGCGTCAGAAGACCGCCCATGGTGTCCCAACTGGAGAATTGCTAGAAGCGACATCATTTCACCTGGCTGGAAGATTTAAAAGCTAGAAGTGACGTAGAACCCCGCTGCCTCACTAAGTCTAACACTGGCCTAGTTGCTAACATCATTTCACCTGGCTGGATGATAAAAAGCTAGAAGTGACGTAGAACCCCGCTGCCTCACTAAGTCTAACACTGGCCTAGTTGCTAACATCATTTCACCTGGCTGGATGATTAAAAAGCTAGAAGTGACGTAGAACCCCGCTGCCTCACTAAGTCTAACACTGGCCTAGTTGCTAACATCATTTCACCTGGCTGGATGATTAAAAAGCTAGAAGTGACGTAGAACCCCGCTGCCTCACTAAGTCTAACACTTGCCTTGTTGCTAACATCATTTCACCTGGCTGGATGATTAAAAGGTAGAAGTGACGTAGAACCCCGCTGCCTCACTAAGACTAAGTCTGGCCTTGCTGCTAACATCATTTCACCTGGCTTGATGATTAAAAAGCTAGAAGTGACGTAGAACCCCGCTGCCTCACTAAGTCTAACCCTGGCCTTGTTGCTAACATCATTTCACCTGGCTGGATGATTAAAAAGCTAGAAGTGACGTAGAACCCCGCTGCCTCACTAAGTCTAACCCTGGCCTAGTTGCTAACATCATTTCACCTGGCTGGATGATTAAAAAGGTAGAAGTGACGTAGAACCCCGCTGCCTCACTAAGTCTAACACTGGCCTAGTTGCTAACATCATTTCACCTGGCTGGATGATTAAAAAGGTAGAAGTGACGTAGAACCCCGCTGCCTCACTAAGTCTAACACTGGCCTAGTTGCTAACATCATTTCACCTGGCTGGATGATTAAAAAGCTAGAAGTGACGTAGAACCCCGCTGCCTCACTAAGTCTAACACTTGCCTTGTTGCTAACATCATTTCACCTGGCTGGATGATTAAAAAGGTAGAAGTGACGTAGAACCCCGCTGCCTCACTAAGACTAAGTCTGGCCTTGCTGCTAACATCATTTCACCTGGCTTGATGATTAAAAAGCTAGAAGTGACGTAGAACCCCGCTGCCTCACTAAGTCTAACCCTGGCCTTGTTGCTAACATCATTTCACCTGGCTGGATGATAAAAAGGTAGAAGTGACGTAGAACCCCGCTGCCTCACTAAGACTAAGTCTGGCCTTGCTGCTAACATCATTTCACCTGGCTGGATGATTAAAAGCTAGAAGTGACGTAGAACCCGCTGCCTCACTAAGTCTAACCCTGGCCTTGTTGCTAACATCATTTCACCTGGCTGGATGATAAAAAGGTAGAAGTGACGTAGAACCCCGCTGCCTCACTAAGTCTAACCCTGGCCTTGTTGCTAACATCATTTCACCTGGCTGGATGATTAAAAAGCTAGAAGTGACGTAGAACCCCGCTGCCTCACTAAGTCTAACCCTGGCCTTGTTGCTAACATCATTTCACCTGGCTGGATGATAAAAAAGCTAGAAGTGACGTAGAACCCCGCTGCCTCACTAAGTCTGGCCTTGTTGCTTACAGCATTTCACCTTGCTGGATGATTAAAAATCCAATTTTGAAAACCAAAAACATCAACCACCCGTCTGTTGTTTACGAGAAACGTCTCAATTATTGAGCAGCCACCATTTACAGAACAATCAAAGCTGCCGACCTTGTGTGGAGTTTATGGATTGCAACATATGCCCCAGTAATCAATGGTGTCATTTCATGGTCGAGAGAGCCGCAACAACACAGTTACAACCCTTCAGAGAATGCGAAATATTTTATGACACTTAATTTAACAGGTTTGACAGTCAATTACTTCATACATAAAATGCTCTCCCCAGTGGATTTTATTAATTTTGTTCTTCTTTGGGAGTATTTATGCCCAATTTATTCAGTCCTTCCTACAGTTATTTTCCATCTGCAAGTTTCGCCGGCCAGGCTTTGTTTTGTTAACAC